GAGAGAGAGAGAGAATAAAACTTTTCTTTTTTAGTCATTTCTAGGTTCTTATTTAAATATTTTCATGAAGAATTAGATACAAAACATAGCAAATAAAATATTATTTAATAAATGTCTTTAATAAAATGTAAAAAAAATTGTAAAAATATGTAATAAATGCAATAAGAAAATAAATATGTAATTATTCTGTTGTACCTGTAGATGTAAGAAGTCCATTGCCCAACCAAGGTCTTAACATGTCATAAGGTTCTCCTTTTGTGATGTTTACAGTGCTGGGGAAAATGGCCTATAGAAGTTTAAGATAAAAATAAATTTATGAGTGCTTAAATGCGTTTTTTATCATTATATAAAAAAATTTATTTTATCACGGAATTATAGAAAATTTAATGGTAATTCTAACTTTAACTTTCTGTTATCAAATTAATTTTATTATTTACCTCTAAATAGTCTGGATGATATATATTAACAAAAGGCTTGTTTCCGAGCCAGTATCCATATATACCATTTTTATACTGTTTCATATAATCATAAAACCATAGTACGCGTTCTACGAATTATTAATAGCATTTATCAATTATTTTATTAATAATTGATTAATTATTATATTAATCTAATTATTATTTGAATTTATATAGCAAATTTCTTATTTTAGATTTTATGTGTAAATATATGAATAACATTTGTAAAGTATGTTTTATTAATAAAGTTCCTTACCCCACTCCGATAATTTTAATAATTGAAATATTACACCAAAGATAGGATTTGCTTTGATTTGAGGAAGGCGTTTCAATTTTTTTCGAAGAACATAGTGCTGATATATTCTTGGAAGGATTACAGAAATCACAGCAATCACACACAAAGTGCACAGTAAAAAGAAGACATCCATTATCTGCGAACGCTTTAAATCACATTATTGTAAATAATTTTATAAATTGTTAAATTTGTTAAAGAAATTTCATTGATATTATATCAAGAATAAACGCTGATAATGCTTTTGTAGTTGCTTATAGTGCTGCTTTCTAGTTACTGATGGGTTCTTCAAAGTACAGTTTCGAAAGCTTAAGCAAATCGAAAGCATAAAGCAAAAAAAGATAATTGTTAGATAAGGGACTATATCTATACTTCACATATATATACATATTTCAAGCCATTTGTCAATAAAATAATACATGTAAGCAATATATGTCAAATCAATAAATCCTTTTAATTTTTATCTAATTTTTATCATCGATTATTTCAATGCAACTCTTTCTAATATATGTATAAAAATAAAGTGGAATATATAATTTAGCAATATATATATATACAGACAGATTTTAGCTGAAATTTATATTACAAGATTTAAAACATTTATTTGCTATGTGTAATTTTTTAATTTAATTTTGTATTAGAAACATTTTTTTTTCTAATATTTAAAGCAGCTTATTCAAGTGAACAATAAAACATTAGTTATTTTACATAAAATTATAAATTTCGTTTGAATTTTTTTAACATTTTTTTAAATTTAATTGTAATATGTAAGAAATAATATGTCAAACACAACAATTTACTTTGTTCATAAAAAAAGAAAAATAAAATCTAGATGACAAAACCGTAAAGTTTTCATTAATATAGATATGAATAATTATTCATTAATATAGATATGAATAATTATTATATATAAATATTATCTTAGAACATTTAATTCAATTTCTTTATAGTCACTAATTTAAAAAAATACTTTTTGTCTTTCAGTATAGTAGTCTTTAATAAGTCTATAAATAAATTTCTTTCTTTTCTAAGTTTTGATACAAATTACAAATTGTACGCAAACTCAATAATCATTGTTTTTATTTATTTAATTTGATAATATTATTTAATGCGGTAAAAATTATGAGATTTTTAATACTTACCGTTTATTATGTCGGTTAAATCAACGTTTTTAATTCAACACTTGAATCAGCGATCACCGGATTATCAGAATTTTATCATTGAATACCGCTTCGTCATTTAGTATAAAATATGCGTCATTTAAGTCATATTTTGTTGAATATTAAGTATAACAAGTGATATAATAACAAATCGTTATAACAGGAAGAATCACGAATATGCAGCTGCCTTTTAAAATTTACAATAAGTTCACAATATTTTCAGCTTTGATATTTCTTATTATTTTGCGCCGCTTTATCTCGCAAAGTATTATTTACACGATGCTGAATAATTGAACCGGCCACTTGATATCATCCAAGTACTTTCAGCAAACAATTTCTCGTTGCGTTTGGAAACATGCGACGTTGTGAATCGCGTTTTTATAACGAGATAAAACAGAGGTAACTATTTGCATTTGACGCAATTGATAAGGCGCATGCCTAAGATTCTCTCTCTCTCTCTC